GATAAAATCTTATTAGAATTTACTATTTTAAAAATACATTTTAAAATCATACTAAATTCATACCTCACAGGGATATACAAACATAAGCTTGACTTGCGTAGCCTACCGTTGTTTCACTCAGCACCAACCACCTTCCCCTCTTTGAAGTCCTTTAATGAGCTCAGAGAGCTTGGGGGAGCAGTTATAGAGAAGGTATGAGAAAGACTTCTACTGTTTTCCTGCAACACAATGCTGGGGTGGGAACACGGGGATTAAGCTCAAATGGAGTAGGCTGGTCAGAGGAAAGAGCTGGCTCCCCCCCCCCCCACACACACACCTTCTTACTTCCAAGCTGGAGAAGTTGGCAGTAGAGCCATTAGTAGTATGATAATGAAGGGAACACAAGAGACAGGAAGAGTAAGCTACTGGCATATAAATCACAGAGACCTGATCAAACAGTTCTAGCCCTCGGCCTTCACTACCCAGTGTATCTCTACTGAGAGGGTTTGGGTGGGGGGAAGCTCTCACTTTTAACAAGAACCATTCTTGGAAAGGGATAGGCATGCTTTACAGAGCAGTTATGCTTGAGACACAGATATGCTAAAGACTTTGGGGGGCTCTGAAGGAGACCTATATTGCTACAGGGTCTGAAAAGAGGTGACCAGCCAGATGGAGAAAGAAGGGTAACCTGAGATGAACAGTCTAAATGTTTTAGACTGAGGAAAAGAGGACTGTGTTTGTTTATCTATACCTCACTTTTCTCCCCAGTGGCAATCCAAAGTGCCTTACAACATTCACCTCTGCTATCCTCCATTTTATCATCACAACAACCTGGTGAGGTAGATTAGTCTGAGAGTGTATCATTGGGCCAATGCCATCCAGCAAGCTTTGATGGCAGAACGGGGATTCAAATTTGGTCTCCTAGATCCTAATCTGACATTCTAACCACTATAAGACACTGGCTGTTACATCTACTTCCTTTTCCTATTCTCAGATGCTGCAGCCTTTTGTTGTTCAACTGTACACTTTTACTTGTAGCCACTGAATGTTTAGATACTTAAAGGCAAAATTTTATCTCCCCCCACCCCGAAATTGGAGTTATTTGGTCTTTGCAAACCATGGTCTTTGATAAGGATGAGCTAAAGCATAAGGTTTGCAAACTAACAAGCAGGAATAGTCTGCCTAATTGGGAATCCACGTTGCCTGAAGTATGGATGAAATTCTGATTTCTGTACAAGAGAGTCTCACTGTGGGCACTAATTTTATCAGTGGCCTGCTGGTGGCAATAGAGAATAAAGCCTCTTTGTGAAAAGCTAGAGAGGTGTACTCCCCAGTGGCAGCTTGAGGCCAGAGTCAACTAAGTAAATCTCTCGTTCTTCATCATAAAAACAAAGGTCTGGAGAGTCATTTTAACAACTCACCAACAAAGAAGCTTTATGACAATATTCATCCACTGGGGTGGGAAAGAGGCACAGAAGAGCAAGAGGATTTAGGAATAGTAAGAACAGGTTCTTGGTGAAGTTCATTTGCAAAGGTCCTGAACAAATGCCTAAAGAAGATAACAGGATGGATGTGGATCAGTAAACTAAAGCTTAATCCAGAGAACATTGAGTTGGTTGAAGTCAAGGCAAGGGACATTCAGAAGTGGTTTGCCAGTGCCTGGCTTGGCATTGCAACTCTGGTATTCCTTGGCGGTCTCCCATCCAAATGCCAGGGGTGACCCTGGTTAGCTTCTGAGAACTGATGAGATCAGGCCAGCCTGGGCTATCCACTGTCTTTTAGGTGCTAGGCCAAATCCCAGGCTTTAACTGAAGGGTATCATTAGTTTTAGTTATGTTTTATAGCCTCAGCAGTCCCAGCTTTTAACTTCAGCTTTAAGAAATCAAGGGTTTTGTTTGTTTTAGGGGAAGGGGGTTTATATTTACATCTGCCAATGATAGTATGTTAAAAAGAAATTAACAGCCTGGGATACTTGATAAAGAAATAACAAGCATATCTTTCAAAATGCAAACTAGCTTTTCTAAACAAATAAAATTGATTTGTTCATTTTAACTGAGTATTCATTTTTGCCTTTCCATTTTTACAGCTACAGATCCATTCTCAAATTTTAAAGTTTTTTAAAAAATGTTTTGCACTTTTACTTTGAACAGTCTATTAACTGGATGAAACAGCTTAAATTGAAGAGACTTCTGGAGCTAGAGGCATTTTTAAAGCATTCTATAGCTTTTGTTTAGACTGAATGCATTTACAAGTACACAGCCCAATTAATTTAATACTTAGGTTAAAAGTGAGTGCCCACTCATTTCAACGGAAACAGTTTTCGGTCTCAGAATGTCCCATTCTGAACACACCCTGGATGCAGCAGTAACTTTTACACTTTAATGTGTGCCAATGGAAAGTGTCTGGTTCTATTTGGGCCATCTTTGTTCCACCATTTATAGAAAATCTTTTATGTACTTTTGTTCTGTAGATATTTATCAGCAGCCACTAGACTTTTAACAGCATTTAGTGTTCAGTGCAGCCATTTATGTATTTATGAATACATCTTAATGAAAATACAGTAGTCTGCCCTATTTCTGATGACAAATTTTGCCACTTGAAAAAAGGAGATGCATGTAAAATAATGCAACCTAACAAGAATCCACTACAAGGTTTTTAATCATGCTGCTGACATAGGTTACCCATTTGCTGTTCTTCGAATATAAATTGCTTCTGTGCTGAATCTAAAAGACTATGTCTCTGTGTTGTTACTCTGGACATCCTTGGTGGTCCTCTGGGAGACCTCTCCCAACCAAATAGTAATCAGGGCCAACTTCGCTTAGCTTCCGAGATCAGACAAGACTGGAGTAGCCAGGGCGTGTAACACAACAGTCATGAAATGGTTTGCACTGGTTGTTCTCAGTTTTGTATACAGGAGAAAAGAACACATATTGTTACATCCAAGGAGCAACAGAACTCCCTTGCCTCCCTTGGTGTTTTTACCCAAATACTCTCCTAGAAAAATCAGGAACTTGTTTTGAAACCACATGCTTCCTATTTTATAATCTGCCTTGAGTCTTAGTGAGCAAATAAAAAAAAATCTTAAAAAACAGAAGCACACGTTCTCTGTTAGAGGGGAAAACCGTCACTGCTATCACGGGCCTGACCATGCATGAGACATGTGGGGGAGTGCGGTCCTTACAAAGACGGAGCTCTTCCACCAGGCCTTCGATTAAGGAGCCGCACTATATAATTGAGGCTCTGACCCCAATATTTACACCATCATCAACATCAATACTAATATCATTATAAACACCCGGATATAACCCAGACTACGCTAACAGCTGATTGTTTGTATTGTTGGATACTGCTCATGTCCACCATCACATATGAATCATCCTAGTTCTAGCACTAGTGCTTTGTTTTATGTATATATTGTTATGATTTTAGTTAAATTTTAGTTGTGCAATATCCTATGTAAGCCGCCCTGAGCCTGCTTTGGCGGGGAGGGCGGAGTAGAAATCTAAGAGTTTCAGATCATTTAGCCTATGCTTCATTAAGAGTTTCAGATCATTTAGCCTATGCTTATTAAAAATATGGCCATTTTAATTTTCACTAGGATCCCACACATTTAGGATCATGATACAAACTGCTGCAATCAATAATCACTCTCAATCAGGAGACAATGGATTGATCTTTCATGAGCAGACTGCAATAGCCTAGGGTGAGGGAGATTGCTTTCATGCCGTGACAAGGCAAAATATATGAGATAAATATGGCTCCTTAAATCAGCTGGGCCATGTTCTGCCTAGCCTCAATAGGTGTATATCCCCAGTTGCATCTATAGAACAAGTTATTTACTCAAGTGACTCTGAAGCTAAAATGTTTCTGATTCCAGAACTTCAGGCTCCATAGGCTGTGACTGCACTGCACAAACCAAAATGGGGTGTGGGGAAATGGTGGCTTCTCAAAGTTGCAGATATTTTGGACCTCAGGGCATTTTGCAACAGAAAACAGTTATGACAAAGACCCATGACAGAACTCCTCCAATTAGACAGTAATGCTTGGAAACCAAAATGGTTTTCAAGCATAGCTCTCTATCAAATCATTTAAAACCAACAATTTAAAGCCATTAAGAGCATGACAACAAAGCATATGGTTTCTCTAAGATTTTTTAAAAGTGGTTATTCATCCAGAATTTTTTGCACAAATGGCCCATTTACCATTTGAAGGTAGCAGATCAAGTGAAACAATACCTTTTTGTTCAGTCGCACCGATTACGTCTTAAAATCCTAGAAGCACGCTCCCCAATCAAAACTGTAAACAGTCGTCATGGGCCTAACAGCAAAGTTGCCCTCTCACTTTACTGCTATGTGGGACCAACGCAGCTATTACAGCGACGGTTTGCCTCCAAGTTGGGACAGACCCCATTGCTCGTTCAGCTTTCCCCCTTCCTTCGCCTTCTCCTGGGAAGGGAAGGAGGGGGCAACGCGAGATGCTTGAGACAGGAGGTGCAGCCTCGTGACAGCAAAGATGGTCACGGCGAATAACAACCAGAAGCCCCCCACGCGCACCTCCCTACAGTGTTCGGAGAAAAGGGGAGGGGACGTCGCGAGCCGGGAAGAAGCAAATGTTCTTTCCTAACAAATGACCAGTGAAGGGAGGCGGGGGCGCGCGAGAGGCCGGACACCGCCGACGACCCGGCGCCCCCCCCCTTCTCCGAGCTCGGCTCTCCATTCCGGGGACGCGGCGGCAGGCGCCGACAACGACAACATGGGGCCTTTGTTTAGGGTCTGCCGCTGCCCGGAAGAACATAGGCGCGGGGGAAGGGGCTGCGCGAAAGGCAAAAGGGAAGGGGGCAGCGATTTCTAAGCATGAGGGCGGGCGAAGAAGGCCACAGCCCCCGCCTTCCGAGCGCCGACAGACACAGGGTGGGAAGGGGAAGGGGAGGGGGCGAGGAAGACCCTCCATCCCCAAACGGCAGACTTTGGAACGAAGAACGCTGGCGGCCTCACGCGCAATTCGTTATTCCACGCACTCACCTCAGGGGCTGCACGCCACTGCCTGGTCCCCCGCGAACGGTAAAAGCCGAGGAGACACCTTCATCCGTCGTCTTGTTCGCTCTCTCCCCACCTCCCCTGCCTGGCGATTATGCTGCGCCGTCCCCCCCTCCCCCCATGCGAAGGCGCGAGCTCTGATGACGCCAGTACGCCAGGAAGGAGGGGCGGAGAAGTTGTCTGCGCACGGGCGGATCCTCGGCCCCGGGACGGGCGGGAGCTGCAGCGCCACCTTTGCGGTAAACGTGGGTAGAGCGGCTGGTTGTTGCAGCGTAAGTGGCTTTTTCGGCCCGATGCAACGAAGCGGCTCTGCAGACGGGTTCTCTGTTTCATTGGTTGGGGTTCCCTTGAGTCTAATGGGGTTAAAAGCAGAGGAATGAACGCAGGGGGCGGATTATCTTGGGGGATGTTCCCAAGGTCTGCAATAAAACAAAAACAACAACAAAACAAAAAGAAGGGAAAACACCAGCGAGCCAAGAGAAGGAGAAGAGGTTTTCTGCTGGCCATGCTAGATTTCTAAGTTCGTGGGGTTTTTGTTTTTGATGTGAAGATCCAGAGCCAGAATACTCCACCTGCCAATCTTAAATGGTGCAGTTCCGAGCCGCCGCAGGGCTTTGCCATCTCAATCTTTGAATCGGACCCTACTTGCAAGATAGGATCGTGGTTTTAATTTATACCAGTTGAATTGTGAGAGCTTTGAAATACAGTCATGACCAAGCTTCTTTCCGTGTACCTGGTGGCACTGTCTCCAAGGGACATTTTAAGGCTTGCAGTTCAACAGTTACAATTTAAACAGATTTACACCCTTCAAAGCCCAGTGCTAGTGTATTTACTTGGAAATAAAATTAAACAGGAATCTGGTGACAGTTTGAAGACTAACCAAGTGTATTCCAGCATAATTTTTTTGTGAAGTTCTGACTCAAGAAAGTTTATGCTAGACTAAGTTTGTTAGAATTTATGTGCCACTTGGACTTTGCTGCAACAGAATAACATTACCTTTCTGTAATTTACAGAAGTAAGAAATTTTTCCAAGGAAATAATGTTTGTTTCACAATGAATGTTTATCTACAGTTTGTTGTATTTTCAGACTTGTGCCAAAGCAAGAATCCAGACGTTTTTACTGCCACGTAATTATTGTGACTGAAAGAGTTTCAAAATTTCAAAACTCATTTCATATTTATTAACAAACTAGGGAGAAAGCTCGTTGTGGTAAGGAAGACAATGAGCCCTAGCGAGGCCACGATCTCCTACCTCATCCGTGGCTGTCCCTGGGCCCACCCGCTTGAGGCCTTGGCGGGCCAGGACAACGGGCCTGAGCCGTTCTCTCGGCATGGCTCTCCCTGCCCCCAGCGGCATTGGCTGCACGAGGCTAGTCGGCCTCGCCAGTCCCCTCCCCCATTTGGGGGCCCAGTGGACCAGGGTGCCCGGCCTCGCCCTTCCTGCTGGTGCAGCTCCCCGCAGTCTCAGCGGTCTTGGGAGCGTCAGACTCACTGGGCTCATCGCCCCTCCTGCCACTGGAGGCCCCGGCAGGCGAGGCCGCCCCGCTTCGTCCCCCAGCGACAGCGGCAGAGTGATCATCCTCATCCCTTCTCTCTCCCCCTCGAGCTCCTGGCATGCCAGGCCAGCCGGGTTCATCCCTTCCCTCACTGCAGCTCTTGCCACCCCCCAGCGTCAGCGCCAGAGTCACCGGAGCATCTGTCCCGTGTGTCTGAGGTGAAGTTGTCTTGTGAGTTGAGTTCCAGTGCCTGCTGCCTCTGTGGGTGGGACGTAGCCATCCCAGCCAGTGGCCAGGGACCCGTTTGTGAGTGGCAGTCCAGGTGGCCAACTGACTTTGCCGTGAATTGAATCCTGCCACCCCATAGGAGAGATGCCACCCCAAATCAGCTTTATAATATAGATAGATGTGTTTAATCCAAGGCCCGATAAAATAAGCCATTCTCTTATCATCTAAAACTGTTGCTGATTAAAACTTTGTCTGTTCAAGGTGAAACGTCTTCATATTCTGAGACAGCTTACATCCTGATTGCTCAAAGTAGATAGATATCACGAACTTGCTTAGTTGTGTGATCATTATTTGCAATGGACTAGTGAACCCTATGCTCTTCCTATGTTCCAATATTAGGTCAGAACATGACTGCACCAAGGTCAGAGCCCACCTTGGAATATGAGGAAAAGAATGCTTAATAAACATCTGTCTTTCATACTTTGCTGCCCGCTTTAGGTCATGCATTTCTGAGCTGCCATGGTTGTGTGGAGTTGCTCTGGCGCCAAACAATTCTTGTTTTAGTGCACAAGCTCAAGCAGATAATTGTGCCAGAGCACTTAAGGGTGATCCTATCTAAAGCACAGAACACCTTGTGGTAGGCTTGCACTGTTAAAGAATGAATATTTAAGAGTAACAAGTATAAATCCTTTACTAAGCTTCTGCTCTTTCAACTAAAGACATTAGCAGCATCAGCCTTTAAGCAGCCTTCATTAATTTATGTGAAGCTACTTTTATATGCATAAATGTTCCACAGTATTTCTAAGGAAAGTCTGAGAGGAGGACTGCATAAAAATCAAAACTTCAAACCTTGCATTACGAAGCAGATGTCATTGTGGTTATGCACTACTTCAGTACCAAAAATACAAGATGTAAACTAAGTTGGTTTACTATACTGTATGTTGATGAAAATTATTACTATGAAGTCAGTTACTAATCACAGGTGAAATCCTATTATGTTAGGTGGACTACAGCCAGAATGAATGGTTCTGAAACTGCTCCCTAGAGTCTCAAACTTTAATATATTCCTGTGGGGGAAAAAAACTGTGTGAAATAAGCTAAGTAGTTTGCTGTGTAGAGAACAGCAATTACTTCTGTGATTGCAGCAATATTTTTTATAACCATGAACATGGAAATGGCTTCTGGCCAATATGGACTTTTTTTTTAATTATAGAAGATTTACTTAACTTTTAACATATTTTTTTTTACAGCAGTGGAATCAGCTGCCTAGGAAGGTGGTGAGCCCCCTCACTGGCAGTCTTCAAGCAGTGGCTGGACAAACACTTGTCAGGCACGCTGCATGGAGCAGGGGCTTGGATTAGATGGTTTGTATGGCCTACCAACTCTACCAACCCCTACCAACTCTATGATTCTGTGGATTCTGCATATGTGAGAAAGTTGATGTGGAAAAAAAATAAGTAGGTGGTTCGTATGATGGTTCAACTGTCTTTTAATGCCACTGATAGAGCTTAGTTGAAACAAGATAAGAGTGCCAGTGGAAAACCACAATTATTTTTTCTATGCCACGCCTAAATATTTTGCTCGGTGCTATATGTAGGCATGAGAGTTTGCCTATCAGGGGCCCCGGTCAAACGGAGCATTAGACACGCTAGAGAGACGGAAGATAGGCGGATTTTCCGGGCGCGATCTCACCGCCACATCTGGGAAGCGTAGAGCTCCCGTGACTCACCCGAGGCTTCACTCCGAAGATGTGCTGTAAAAAATTAGTACCTCCGAGGTACTAGTTTCCGGAAAGCGCGGGGCAAGGGCGGGTGTCAGATCACGTTTCTGGTGTTAGCTCGTGGCATCCGGCGCCCGCCTATGTCCAGTCGCGAAAAGTTTTTTTTTTGTCAAGTCACCCAACGGCGCATGCAAACACTTGGGTTAAAAAAAACCACACAATCCCCGCAGCGCCGCTTCTTTGCCGTGCTGCAGGAGTGAGGTATGATCGACACCTCCCCCCAACCATGGGACGTCGGCGGGACGTTTGATCCAGCTGCCGCGCGGTAGTTCGCTCCGGGGCAAACAGCCACAATATCCGGCCCGTGTGACTGGGGCCAGGATCTTCTTTCTGTAACAGGGTCAGAAAGTTACACATCATGGAAGAAGGTTTTCCTGTAAACCAATATTTGGTCTAGCTGAGTTCGTTGCTGTTCTTTTCTCCAAAGAAATTGCACTTTTATAGCTGGTTGCTGTTCACTAAGCCTGCTGTGTACCAAAATCAGCTCTTTTGTATTTCTCACAAGCTTTTGTATTTGTCTCTCTCACAAGCTTTTGCAGTTAAGAAAACAAATACTATTCACCTTGAAATTTGTTGTTCTGGACTTTGCATACAAATAATTAATGTGAACTATACTGGAAAATAAACACATATAAGAATGATCTCTGAACGACACCTTTGTAAGGAATCGTGTGTTTGTGTGTGTCAGTTGTCAAGTTTAGATAATCAGCGTGGTCTTCTGGGAGTTCACTAATATATACTATATAATTTCTGCTAGTGAGGGGGGGGGTGTTACTCCAAAGGATAGTAGGACTGTCCATCAAAAAAGCTTGCAGGGATCATAATTGATTTTATTATTCATTATCTCAAACCTCTGCTGAAATATTTATTGGTGCTGCTCTTGTGCCCTTAACAGCAACCTAGCACCCAGATACTTAGCAGATCAAACTTTTCCTGGCATTCACTTAAGGGTGGGAAACCCTGTAGAACCACATATATTTGTTTGCTATTAAACATACGGGATTAGGGCCAGTAAAAATGTGGCAACCAATAGCAGACTGACTCAGTAAATGTAAAAGGAGAAATAGCTGCAGTAGAGCAATAGAGAACCAGTAGGAGAAAGGGAAAAGGGGAGAACTCTTGGTGACACAGCAGAGGTTTGGGCACAGTGCTGATCAGAGGTGCACCACTGTGAACATTAGGGCTCTTAACCATGTGGAAAATATGGCTTCTAGATTTAAGAACATTTTTAAAATCATTTTTTATTTCATACTAGCAGTAAAGCCCGTTGTGAAAGCAATACAAAGCTCTAGAAAGATGTGATGTGTAACAAATGCATAGGCTGGAAGCAGGTTAAGTATGTAATAGAAAGGCAAAACGTGGAAGTAAAGTCTCACATACCTTATGTTACACAATACCTGGTGTCCAAGGTCACACAGTGTGGGCCAGAAAATGCAGCACACAGGTCTCTGTGGAGTCATTTCTACAATTGGGCACTCAATTGCTCCCTCTAAACTGTGGAGTCTTGTGAGCAAAAATTCTGCTTAGCTAACCATCAACGTGCCGTTATCTGCCCCTCTGACTGCAGCTGACCTGCCTCCTGGAGATCAGTTGTAATTCTGAGTAATCTCCACCCC